GTTCCTCAGATGGGGCGGGCTGCTCGTGAGGCTACCGCTCTTTTGACAGGAGCAGGTTGCCTACAGGGCTACTGCTCCTCGTAAGGGTGCAGGCTGCTTGCGCACCTGCTGCTCCTCAGATGGGAGATGGGCTGCTTGTGTGGCTGCTGCTCCTCGGGCAGGAGTGAGCTGCATGTGCAGCTGCTGCTCCTCAGATGGGGGCGGGATGCTCACCCAGCTGCTGCTCGTCAGATACGTACAGACTGTGTGTGGCGCTGCTCCTTGGACCAGTGTGGGCTGCGCAGGGCTGCCGCTCCTCAGATGTGGTTGGTCTATCTGTTCATGTGGCTGCTACTCCTCGGACAGGGGTGAGCTGCTCGGGCAGCAGCAGCTCCTTGGGCCGGAGTGAGCAGCACGTGTGGCTGCTGCTCCTCAAACGGGGGCTGTCTGCTCACATGGCTGCTGCTCCTCGGACGGGGGATGAGCTGCTTGTACGGCTGCTTCTCTTCGGTTGGGAGCGAGCTGCACGTGTGTCTGCTGCTCTTCAGATGGGGGCAGGCTGCTCACGCAGCTGCTGCTCGTCGGACAGGTGCAGTCTGCATGTGTCTGCTGCTCCTAGGACCAGTGTGGACTGCGCAGGGCTGCCGCTCCTCAGACGTGGGTGGTCTGCTCGTGTGGCTGCTGCTCCTTGGACTGGGGGGGGCTGCTTGGGTGGCTACTGCTCCTTGAATGAGAGCGGGCTGCTTGCAGCGATGCTGTTCCTCATATGGGTATGGGTTGCTCACACCGCTGCTGCTCCTCGTATGGGGGCAGGTTTCTTGCACACCTATTGCTCCTCAGACAGGAGGAGGGTGTGGGCTGCGCAGCTGCTGCTCCTCGGATGGGGGCGGGCTGCTCACGTGGTTGCTGCTCCTCGGATGAGGGAGTGGGCTGCTCACACAGCTGACAGCTGCTGCTCCTTGGACAGAGGCAGGCCACATGAGGTTTCTGCTCTTAGGCCTGGGGCAGGCTGCTCGTGGGGCTGCTGCTCCTTGGACAGGATTGGGCTGCTCACGTGTCTGCTGCTTGCGTGGTTGCAGTGTCCCGAGCTAAGGCGTTGGGCTGGTCAGAGGGGAGCATGCTTCAGAACTCACAGGAGCCTGCGCCCAGGGTGGCTGGAGACTTGTTGACCGTGGGACCACAGCCGAAGTAGCAGGTCCCTGGCAGGGGTGTCTGTAGAGTCCCAGGTGTTATCTGAGGGCACCCTGGGTGGGGGTGAGGCCTGGCTCCCAGTTACAGCAGCTCTCCCCTTA